TTAAGCATCTGTGACCCCCAAAACCCTTCATGTGGCTTTTAAACACCTTCAGACCCTGCTCCTTGGTGGCCTGAGATCCCTGACGTGCAGGCAGCCACCTCCGTTGACAGAAAACCCCCCTTTTCCCCCCAAAAACCAGCCCCTTTCCCTGCTGGAATGAATCAGGACAGCTGCCGCCATGGGGTGATTTCTGCAGCCTGACAACACAATCACCTCCATCCTTATTTCCTTAAATATCCCCTCTCAGCTCCAAATATCAAACTTTTAGCCTCAAAACGCTCCCTAATTAATTTATCACTAAAAAATTTAGAAGTTAATGCTTCCAACCCAGCAGCAAAAAGCTCCACGGCCTCACCCCTCCATGAGGAAAATATCCCTATTGAGAGGCAGATAAACCCCAAAACCAACATTTTTTTCCACATTTCAAGGAAAAAAAAAAAATCATTAGGACACCGTGAAGCATTTTTCACTTTATAAAGTGTATTTTTTTTTAATTTCCGCTTAGAGCCACCGTCTCTATTGCCACCAGAGGGCCCTGGAAATTGTGCCAAGCTCTTTTCTCCTCTCTTTTTATTTTTTTCCCTCTTTTTTTTTTTTTAAAAAAATTTAATTCCTTCCTTCCTTTTTTTTTTTCTTGTTCTTTTTTATTTTAACTCTTACTGCTCTGGATATCAAAGGGACCAGGTTTCCTGTGGCCTTTGCATCCCCAGGACACACACACACACACACACAGAAAACCCCTCGTTGCCTCCCTGCTTCATTTTTTGGCTTGAAAAAAGAAGCTTTTGGGGTGAAAAAAATCATCTTTAAGCTTTTCCAACAGCTGAAAACTGCAGGTAACGGGGATATTTGATCTTTGGATGGGGAAAAGGAGTGGAAAATGGTTTCTATATATTTTATTTTGAATTCTTTTCCTTTTCCCTCTCCATCCTTTCCCTTCCTCTCTCCTCCCGTCCCCTCCATCTCTCCTCCCCGCCGTGTCTGCAAACAAATCAGCTTTAAAATCGATGACTGGATGTTTTCTATCCTTAAAGAAAAGGGGAAAAAAGAATTAAAAATTAATTTTAAAAACCCATTAAAAACCTCAGCCTCGTTGTTTTCCATCCTTTCCATCTCATTTCCTTCGGGTTTAGTGGATTTTATTTTGGGATAAGCTGCTGGGAGATCTAAAATTGGAGATATTTGCAAAAGCATGTGGTATTAACCTTTTTATTTTCATTTTTTTTTAACAGCAGGATGGAATAAATGAAGCGGGCTGAGGATGCTGAGGAAGGCTTTGAAAAAAGAAGAAAGAAAGAAAAATAAAAGGCAAAAAAATTACAGGCAGGAGCTGCTGGAAATCATCTTTTTATTCCTGGCATCAGTAAGTCAGAAACAACCTGTAAATCCACCTTTTTTTTCCCAACCTACCTCCTCCATCCTCTGCTGCTAGAGGGGAAAAAAATATATATATAAATATAATAAATCAACCCACGTCTCCTAATAAACCCGCTGCCGACAGAGGAGGATGAGGAAGAAGTCAGGGGGAGTGGTGATAATTTGCTTTTAAATGATTTTTATAAAGCAGAGCATCAAAACCTCTTCTTACAGCTGGGAAAATTTGGATTATTTCCATCAAACACAGGTTTTGAGCACTGGAGGTTTGTGGAGAGAAATAACTGGGTGATTTATCCTCTTTGGGAAGGAAAAGTGATTGCTTTGAGGGGTTTTTTGGGTGTGTTTCTGTGTATTTCTGGAAAATTTGGGTCAGGAATTTCTGGGAAAGTGAAAGATCTTGAGGGCGAGCACCCAGTGTACAGTAGGAATTCACTCCAATTAGCTAAAATCTGAGTGAAAATGAATTTGAGGGTGAATTTAGATCCTGAATTTTAGGAATTTAGAGCCTGATCTCTGAGCAGAAAGTTGTTTGCAGGTTAAAGAAACGTGTTTTTCACGGGCTGAGTTTCTCTCTTTTTTTTTAATTTAATTTTTTTTTAAGGAATTGTGCTATTTGTGTTCTTATTTCCTCCTTTCTGCTTCCTCCTCCCTATTAATTTTTGGAAAAAAAAAATTAAAATTAATTATTCAGCCAGATTTTATAGCAGCAAATTATAAAATTCCTGCAAGATTTGGAAAAAAATAGGTGGGGAGGTAAAGGATGGAGGTTTTTATTCGCTGCCTGTCCCCTGTTTTGTGATTCAGCTTAGTCCTTCTATTAGCTTATTAGAGAATAATAATTTATTAGATTATTAGAGAATCCCCAGGTTAATAAAACAGAGGGTTTGGCATCAACCAACTGCTTACTGGGGGGGGTTTCCTCTTTCTTTCAGGGGTTCTGGTGGCACCAACCATGGAACCGTACGTGGTGTTGGACCCACGACAGAGAGCTCTGTATCGTGACGTGATGCAGGAGAGCTACGAGACGCTGATGGCACTGGGTGAGGAGCAGAAAATGTTGGGGTGGGTGGAGGATTCAAGCAAGTTGAAGCCTCAGGTCTTCACCCAATGGGTGCTGGGGTTGAGGGTGGGCTGCTGAGGAGAGCAGACCCTCTTGACCCATGTTCATCTTGACCCATGTTGTTCTTCTTGACCCATGTTGTTCATCTTGATCCATGTTGTTCATCCTGATCCAGGTTGTTCATCCTGACTCACGTTGTTCATCCTGACCCATGTTGTTCATCTTGACCCACGTTGTTCATCCTGACCCCATGTTGTTCATCTTGACCCATGTTGTTCATCTTGACCCCATGTTGTTCTTGACCCATGTTGTTCATCTTGATGATCCATGTGGTTCATCCTGACCCACGTTGTTCATCCTGACCCCATGTTGTTCATCTTGATCCATGTTGTTCATCCTGACCCACGTTATTCATCCTGACTCATGTTGCTCATCCCACCTCCTCTTTTCCAGAATTCCCTGTTTCTAAACCCGATCTGCTGTCCCGCCTGGACCACAGAACTGAACCTACAGCCCTAGATCTCCACGTGCCCAAGGACACCTCGACTGTAGGTGAGCTTCCAATCATACCACAGCAGGGAAAAAATTTGACTCCTACAAATGTGATGGGCTTCCCATCCTGCTGACCTCACCCCAAAATGGACAAACCTCCACCAGAAATGGTGCCACTGGTGTCACCGTACCCTCCTAGACAGCCCCATTTCTAGAGTGGTCCATGGAGGTTCAGTGGTGGATTAATTACCATGTCCATGTTGGTGGCAGAGAGGAGTGATGGGGATTGGAGGTGCCTCTGCTAGAAGTTCTTACCTGGAACAACATGTGAAATAAAAAAGGAGGAATAACTCCTCGCTCTCCCTTTTTCTACCACCTTCCCATCTTCTCAGCCCTGGGAGAGACTTTATCTCCTGCCTTGGGTTGTCTCTGTCTCTCTTTGTTCCCCACAGAGGATGGAGCAGGAGCAGAGCAGGAACCACCTCAAGAAGAAACTACTGAGAAAGAGCCTGAAGTGGTGAAACCTGTGGGTGAGGAGCATCCTTTGAACCCCACCGAGGTTGGGGTGAAGACAAACAGGAGCCTGGGACCGGTGGAAACATCCACGCGTCCACCTGAGACTCAACCCAGCAACACGTGCGGCGAATGCGGGAAGAACTTCAGCCACAAATCAGCTCTGGTGAAACATCAGAAGATCCACACCGGTGACCGTCCCCACGAATGTCCTGACTGTGGCAAATGCTTCATCCAACGTTCAGATCTCACCATCCACCAACGGGTCCATACTGGTGAACGACCTTACGCCTGCCCCGACTGCGGGCGCCGCTTCAGCGTCAGCTCTTCTTTACTCACCCACCAACGTACCCACGCGCCCGGTGGTGAGAAACCCAACCGTTGTCCTCAGTGTGGTCGTAGCTTTGCTGATCCAGGAGCTCTTGACCGACACCAGAAAAGCCACCTTGGTGGGAAACCCTACGAGTGTGGAGTGTGTGGAAAAGCTTTTGCCTGGAGTTCCCACCTCGAACGACATCGCCGTATCCACACCGGTGAGAAACCTTTCCAGTGCCCTGAATGTGGTCGAGCTTTCGCTTGGAGCTCCCACCTTGACCGCCACATGCGTACCCACGTTGCCACTGCTGCTTCTGAAGATGAAGAAGATGGAGAAGCAGAAGAAGAACCTCCACCACCTCCTCAAAAATGTTCCGACTGCGGCAAACGCCTCAATCATCAAACAGACCCTCAACGTTTTAAACACAAAGGTACCCAAACGTCACCGACCGGTACCGAGCCCACCAACAACCCACCGCGTCCCCATCGCTGTGAGGAGTGTGGAAAATGTTTCTCCCAGACCTCCAACCTCCTCAAACACCAACGTGTCCACACCGGTGAGCGGCCATATCCTTGCCCAGATTGCAACCGTTGTTTCCGTTGGGTTTCAGCTCTTACCAAACACCAACGTACCCATAACCGTCAACAACAACTTGATGATACCATCAAAACCATTCCAACAACCTCAGAAGAAACCAACACCAGAGGAAATAACAAACCTTACCCATGTGGTTCATGTGGGAAAAGTTTTGGTTGGATTTCACACTTAGAACGTCATCGTCGGATCCATACTGGAGAAAAACCTTTTCGTTGTGGAGAATGTGGACGAGCTTTCGCCGTCAGTTCTCATTTGGAACGACATCGTCGGATTCATACCGGTGAACGACCTTACCGGTGTGGTGATTGCGGGAAAAACTTCGCCGTCAACTCTACTTTATTAACTCATCGTCGTACTCACGGCGTTCAACCGAATCGACCACACCTTTGCTTGGAATGTGGGAAAAGTTTTAGCTCCACCGTGGGTTTAGAACGTCACCGACGACTTCACCGAGGTGAAAAACCTTATCAATGTGGTCTTTGTGGCAAAGGTTTTACTTGGAGTTCTCACTACGATCGACACCGACTCACTCACACCGGTGAAAAACCTTTCCCTTGTGCTCACTGTGGGAAATGTTTCGGTCGGAGCTCTCACCGGAACCGTCACCAACGGGCTCATGCTCAGGAGAACACCAAAAAACCACATGTTTGTCCTCAATGTGGGAAAACTTTTGGTCTTGCCACGGCTTTGGCGGCTCATCAACGTCTACACGGCGGTGTCGTCGGCACGGGGGGTTGTAGCCCCCTCTCCTTATTGCCACCTACGTGGTGGGAGGGTGAGAAACGAGGTGGGACCACCAACCCTTCTGAGCTGTGGTCTGAAGAACCCAGCTCTATTTTCCAGCAGCATCCTGTGCCTTCCTCTTCCTCTTCCTTTTCCTCTTCTACAACCCCCAAAGGATGGGCTGCCAAGGTTCTTTTGCCCCCCACCATGACATGGAGGTCTGGGGAGGGGGATACCCTACAAAGTGACCCCTCAGCCCCCCAAGAGTCTTGGGTTTCTCTACCTCCCCCCAGCTCTTGAAATAGGGGGGGGGGGCAGGGGGTGCTCAGAGCCCACCCTCCACCTTTGGGGACACCCCACAACCAAGGTGGGAGGTTGAGCTGTCCCCCCAACTTCCCCAACACAGGGGTAGAAAGGGGCTGGTGTAGAAATTGGGGGTGTCCAGGATACCCTGGGGTGGGGGTCAGGGTGGGGAGGGGGC